CAATAAAAGGTTTCTTGAGGCTGCCCCACCAGACACCACCCAGTAAAGCCCCTGGGACACTGTCCATGTGTTTCTCGTGGCCTTGCCAAGCTACAACAGCTTATCTGGAGGCTGGGCCAGGAGGATTGACTTGTGTCTCAACAGCTGCTCCCATCTGCCTGCCCATCCTGCCAGAGGGAGGTTGCATCCCCATGAGTGGCAGCTGCTTCCCCACTGCACCCTTGAGCTGTGGAAGCCACCACTGCTGTGCAGCCTGTCAAACACCATGAATACCATCACCTCTGCATGCATTGCAGGGTCACCAGTAGCTGGTCATCCCACAATCAGCAAGAGAGCAGAGTGACTCTATAAAAGAGCTCTCAAAGCAAGAGCTATTTCTGTTCATCCCAAATTCCTCAGCAGAGGCTACTCCAGGAGCCAGCCTGTGACTGCCAGGAGCTCTTATCTCAGCAAGTCCTGCCAGCAAACCTCAGGGTATCAGCAGTTGTACACAGAGCACTTTGAAAGAGGGGCTGGGTGCCAGGGGAAGGAAGGGAATTCAACCCAGGCACTCAGGTTGTGGTCTCTGCCCAAAAGCTGATGAGAAGCATAGATACCATGCACCCAGCAAACCATGTGTCACTAACAAGAACAAAGTCTGCTGGGACTGGAGAACTTCTCTCCCATAAATTTTAAGTGTCAAGCTCAGACTACACAAAATACAGCTTCCTACAGATAAGGGACCATCATCAGAGACAAGGAGCTACTGGAGACAGTCCAGTGGAGAGCTACAAAGATCATGAGGGAACTATAACATTTATGTGCTGACAAAAGGCTGAGAGCCCTGGGGCTGTTCAGCCTGGAGAAGAGAAGACTGAGAAAGGATCTTCTCAATGCTTATCAATACCTAAATGGTGGGGGTCAAAAGGACAGGACAGGACCAGATTCTTTCCAGTGATGCCCAGCAACAGGTACAAACTGGAACCCAGGAGGTTCCACCTGAACATAAGGAAAAAATTCTTTCCTGTGAGTGTGCCAGGCTGCCCAGAGAGGTTGTGGAGTCTCCTCCTCTGGAAGCTTTCAAAACCCACCTGGATGTGATCCTGGGCAATCTACTCTGGGTGACTGCTTTAGCAGGGGGGTTGGATTAAATCTCCAGAGGTCCCTTTCAACCCCCACCATTCTGTGATTCAGATGATTTAAAATTAAGATAAATTACAATTAAAAATGGGCAAGTTGAAAGAGATGGTGCAAAGGTACCCACCAGCTTCAGCCTGGCACTCCAACATACCCACACAAGTTAGTGCAAGAGCCAACTCATCCCTCACAAGATACTGTCACAATTTAGGACGATATTTCAGCAACACTTTGTAGGTTATAACATCGCTCTTTGTTAGTCAGGGTCAAATCATCCCAGAAAACATCCCTCTGTTGACCTCAGTCATCCCTCACAAGCATGAGGCATCACCCTAGGCCTAAGGCAGCATGACAGCATGTGGCACAACTGTGGTGAAGCACACAGATCATGCCACAAGCTTGCAGTGTGGTCTCAAACACAGGACATCTTTGGTCTTACCTGGGATTCCTCAGTCCTCCTAGCCTGAGGAGCTTCTATGGATCCATTGATGTCCAGGGTATCCTTCTGCTTATATTTCCTCATGATCAAGCTGTCCACAACCCAGAACATGACAGCCTTGGGGAGAAAGAAGGTACATAAATAGGTTGCAGAGGCCAGATACAAAGTCATTCTATCACAGCTATTTCTTCTCCTTTTGGTTTCTCCAGATTTTCAGCCTAACTTAATATCTAACTTAACCCTGCATCAAGTGCAACCATAGGGGTTGGAAGAGTCAAATTCCTGAGGTCCCTTCTCACATCAATCCTATTGATTCCATACTTGAAGACCCAATGAAAAAAACAAACAGAACAAAAAAACCAAACAAGCATAAAACACACACCCCAAAACCTACCACTAAACCCTCAAAATGATACAACCACCACAACAGGCCAGGTTTCCACCAGGAATAAAAACACTCTTCAAACAAACTCCATTCCAGGTTTATCTGCTCTATCTGCATCAGTCCCTGGTCACTCCTTTGAGAACCAGAGTTTGCCTTCCAATAAGGAAGTGCCATCTGGGGTGGGGAGAAAACTGGGAGCACAAACAGGCAAACCCAACTTTGCCAATGTTGCATCCACTGTCATGCTCATGGTATAAACTGAAGAGACTTTGAATCCCTCCTTGTCCAAGGGGAAATCTGAACATTAACACCTTCTTCTCACTTCCCCTTTTAGCAGGAACCAAGCAGCAGGCCAAGGATCACTCAGAATCAGGGGAACCAGGACCAAGGTGAGCTTTCAAGAAGTTTCACCAAGCTAGTTTTGCAAAGATCAATAGTTCTGGGCCACCTGAACACCTTGTCATGCTGTAACACAATCTGAAGTCTAGTCAAATCATTAGATGGGTAGGTTGCCAAAAGTCACCCCTGACCAGCCATCCTATAGGGGCTTTAGGGCATTCCT